TTTGAAAAGCTCCCCAGGTGATTCTAACATGCAGCCAGATTGACAAAGTGCAAATTGAACTGATGGATATCCTCTCCCCAGAACCCATGTAATCACCTACCATTTACTGTTCCTGTACCTCTAACACTTTCCCTTCTCCATTCGCTGCACTGAGGCTGTCTTCAAGATAGCTCAGGGGTAACTCTTCCAAGGAGCCATCCAGAGCACTACTTGCCCAGTCTGATTAAGGGTCCTCCCAGGTTGTACCATGACAGTCCTTTATCTACTTTTATCATAGCCCTTATCACCCTTTGTTATCATCCCTTTTTGTCTCTCTCCCCACTTTCAGCAACTGTTGGAATTGTCTGCTTTGTGATTCCCTGTTAATTTAGTCCCGGAATTTTAGGGACCTGCCAAAAATTAGAGTTAACTGTCCTTTTTTTGGTCTAAGCCTAATTATATATATATATATATATGTATATATATATATATATATATATTTTAAATAAGCCATGAAGCAAGAATGTCCAGATGCCAGGAGTTTTACAGAACAAAATATGATTCTTATGCCATACCTTTATTTTTGCAAATCAGTATTACAAAACACTAAGATGGTCTAATGATGGGTTCTGAATGCCCTATGTCTTATGCTACTTCTTTTCTTTTTTTTTCTCCCTCCCTCCCTCTCTCTCTCTCTCTTCTTTCTTCCTTCTTTCCTTCCTTTCTTCCTTTCATTCGTTCGTTCTTTCTTTCTTTCTTTCTTTTTCTCCTTTGGTAAAGCCAAGAAGATCCAGACTCTGACCAATGTCTGGAAGGCAGACACAGAGGCTTTGCCAGACTTCCCACTCTAGGCTCATGCTTCCAGCGTATCTGGGGAGATATAATTAGTAGCGTAACATCTAGTCATGACTCCAGTACCTCATTCAGGTTGGCATCCAGTCATGACTCCAATACCTCATTCAGGTTCGCATCTAGTCATGACTCCAATACCTCATTCAGGTTGGCATCATGGACAGGCTCTCTGTGTTCTTTCATAGCATCAAAGCTATACTTTGGGACTGCAGTTTTTCACAGAATCTTTGCAAGGATGCATGTTCCATTTTTGCAATAATATTAAATGTATCTAGTGTCCAAAAAAATCTTATAGGCATTTTTATTGATATTGTGAACTTCATAGATTAATTTAAGGAGCACTGATATATTTTTGATGTTAGATTATGCTACCCACTAGAATATTAATTCCTAGATGGCAAGGATTTTCTCCGTTTTGTTCAGTTTTATATCTCCAAAGCCTAGAATGATGCCTGGCATATAGTAAGTGCTCAATTTTTTATTGAATGAATGAATGCGGTGCTTTTACGTTTGTTCTGATCTTATGGTCCTCAGAAGCGTTTTTCATGTTTTCTTCATGTAAATCTTGTACATTCTTCATTAAATATTTTCCTAGGAATTTTATTTTTTGGCTATTGTAAATGGCTTTTTTTCTTCTATGATAACTTATCACCAGCTATTTGTTTATGTAAAGGATATGGTTTTCTGCACATTAATTTTGTAACCATCAATAACCATGTTTTTGAATTTTCTTGTTTGCAAGAACTTTTCATAATTCTCTTGCTTTCACCAGGCATCACTGTTACTTTCCTTAGAGCTTTCTGGAGTTCAGTAATTAAGAGGATTGAATTACAAACCCAAGGAAAACAGCAAACAACTAAATCCCATTCTATCAGTGTGATTCTTGTTGACTATGTTGAGTGAGTACAGATTAAGATAATTAAATATGGTGATGAAGGAAAACATCTAATCCACAACCATCTCATTCCTTGCCAATTGGGCATCATCTGTTCCCTGTGCTGCTTGCTAATTTGGGGATGCTGCAGTCTTCTCTACATGGTCCTCTTAATTTGAGGAGGGATATTTACAATTTAAATCACAAAGAAATTGTCACTACATATCTACTTGCCTAAGTGCCAGGGTTTCACTGCCGAGTTTTATTCAGTAAGCTTTGATAGATAAGTGAACTCATGCAATTGAATGCATCTGTCATAATTTCTCTTTGCCATTAGATCATTATGCAAGCGTTAAACACCAAAAAATACATAAAATGATTGATTCATCTGATGGAGACTGCAGATTAGCAGGAAGTAAACTCCAGAAGCATGTTCCTCCCTCTCCCAACTGCTTCATTTCTCCTCTTCCTTCCAAACACCCATAAAAGATTTAGTCAGTCCTTCAGGGTCTAGAGATACTTACTGGCAGTTAACATTCTCATGATTCAGCGCATTTTCTCGCAACAATATTCTATCTTTACTCCTGAGTTTTGCCTAATTTAGATTCCTCCTTTAGTCTGTTCTGCTCAGCTAATCCTGATCAATAAATACAGAGAGATTAGACAGAAGACAGAATTGTGAAATAGATGCTGCATTTGGAACAGCCAGTCTTCACTTTACACTGTAGCCAGGACCATCTGCTGTGTGGCCACCTTACCCCAAACCACACTCTGGCATGGTGATCTGTGACTCATTTACCTCTGTGACTAAGCTGTAAGCATCTGTGACTTTTTTGGTCTTTGAGTTTCACTGTCTGGCTCATAGTAGGCACTCAATAAATGCTTAAATCAATGAATGCACAAATTACTCAATTAACTGGTGCATTGATATTTTCTTTCTTTCATGTTATTAAAACTAGCACTCGGGGAAATATTTGAAACATTTTAAAATAAGAGGGTAATTGACTATTACCAATTTATAAAGAAGCCCAGATGGATGAATATTTTAACGAGAACAAATTAAACTAAAGGAATTAAGCTTTTTCTAGATTTCCAAGATTCAGCCAGAAGCCCGGTAAGGACCTTGGGTCCCTTCTGGAGAAAACTGCATTGTCCACATCCCATAAGGCTGCACCTATTTTATGCAGGAAACATGTTCTTGAAAACCTGAGTAGGAATGAAGGTCTTGTTAGTTAAAACTTATGTCTCCCTTGCCAGTTATTACTCTTTCATCGTTGCTTCTTTGTACATTTCTGATTGACCTTTGAGATGGGCCCTTAAAAAACTGTGCTTCCAATTCTTCAAGTAAAGATCTGTGACCAAATGCTTAAATATACAGGATCAATCTATGTATTTAAAGAAAATGCAAAGAATTCTTTTTTGGGCAAAATCGTTGAGCACATTATGTCTCTATAATGTGAATAGTCGTCGTCTGTTATGTAATTCTCGTTACTTTAATTATTTAACCTAATTTTGAAAATAATGTATACCTAGCCTGCTGTCAAGAAGAACTTACAGGGATTGTTTGTTAAGTTGATCTCTTTAAATACCAGTTGGGCCTATTTATGTTTTTATGGCAAATAGAAGGGGTGTTTTATTCTGATTTAAGGGGATACAGGTTAAATGCACACAGTGACGGAATTTTGTTTCAAATGCTTCTGGTAAATGATGGAAAAGGCCCTGTGCTTTTATGCACATGACAAGAATTTTGATCCTTGAATTTCAATCATGATTTGTTCTCTCATACAGAATGTAGTGAATGAAGCTGACATCATTCATACTCATAGACTCTTCCTTGGCTTCTACTTTAAAAAGCAATACTGCTCTCATATGCAGGGTCATGAGTCTGTCATGAAAAAGAGGGTGTTCTGGGGTGCTAAGGTCACAGGACCTGGCAATCTTGAAAGCCTTGCCTGCAATGCTATTCAATATGTTGGTGAGGAAATCAGTGGCCTCCCCCACCCCCACCCCCCCACCCCCGCCTTCCTTCCTGGAATACTCTGTTCTCCTTACTAGATCAGATGAGTGATATTTTCCTTCCCAAACATGATTTGAGTTTTTTCATTGGCTGGTGAAAGAGTATACCATCAGCAACAATTTAAAAACTTTATGGTAAGCATCCATATAGATTTTTGAAATGATAATTAACTCTGTTATGTATAATTAAGGAAGGGGAGGAGGTGTGCCAATAACCTTTTGGGTTTCTTAACTTTGAAGAAGAAAGGCCATTCTTGCATTTTAATATGAGTGTCTTTGATGTCCTAGAAGATCGTAACTCCTGAAATTCATAGTGTGATTCAGGAGGAATTGGTAAACTTGAGTTTCCCCATCCTTACCCAGAAAGTGTGTATGCAGAGGGGAAATGACATAACAGAGAATTTGAAAACAGTGTTTATTATAATTAACCTCTGGATAGGTCAATGTTGACTCTACTCATTTTTGCTTCTGAAAGAAAGATATGCTCAAAGTTTTCTCACTTCCTGTTGTGCCTAAAATCAGAAGATCTGGGTTCCCTCTTGGTGTATAGACCTTGTCTGGACAAGATCTATGAGGTCTTAAAATTTTGAAAGTAGAGAATGAGGGATTTATGGCAGTTACCTGGAGATTCCTGAGGACCAACCCCACCTTACCATATTGTGACACATCCTGTAAGAAGTGATGTGAGTTGTTACGTGAAGTCATTGTACTTTGTTTTCTGAAAGACAAAAAACAATAGAGTAATATTTTTCTTCAACCTGTAGAAAGCTCTCTTCTCTTGTGTCTCTTAGCTTATTCAGCTGAAATGTACCAAGAACTTGGAGTTTGCTGCTGCATGATATATATTATTATTTAAAATTATTCTTTTTGTATTATTACTTAAAACTCTGTTCTAGACCCTTATCTTACAACTCTCAATTGTTCCCTTTGGAATTGCAAGGAGAGAAACCAGGGAAAGTCACTTGAGAATGGCAGAAAACAAAGGGCAAATATCGTCATTTGCATATAAGCCATGTCAGACTCTTTATTGTGAACCTAGAGTGAACTACCCCACTGGTACCCATTTTAACAACCTATAATGAAATATCTGTCTCCGCTTTATCTGCATACACGTCTTTATGAGATACTCTGCAAATGGCGATGGAAAAAGAGGCCACAGATCTTTTCTTCGTAAAGGAAAAAGTGGGGAGGGTTTATGGGAAGGAGTCCCTTCACCAGGCACAACGGTATCTCGTGCTTCGACTGTCATTTAATAAGGCAAATGCTTTTCTTTTCACAGAGGAATTCAAGGGCTCCACCGTGGTCGAACTGATGAAGAAGGAGGGCACCACCCTTGGGCTGACGGTATCCGGCGGAATTGACAAGGACGGAAAGCCCAGAGTCTCGAACCTGCGGCAAGGAGGAATTGCTGCTAGGTAACTGCATCTCGGGGAAATGTAGGAAAAGAAACGCAGGAGGGTAATTAATGCAAAAATTGAAGTTCCATCAGAAAAGGTCACGGGGCGCCTGGGTGGCTCAGTCGTTAAGCGTCTGCCTTTGGCTCAGGTCATGATCTCGGGGTCCTGGGATCGAGCCCCGCATCAGGCTCCCTGCTCCAAGAGGGGAAGCCTGCTTCTCCCTCTCCCACTCCCCCGGCTTGTGTTCCCTCTCTTGCTGTGTCTCTCTCTGTCACATAAATAAATAAAATCTTTAAAAAAAAAAAAGGTCACTAATAAATGATAGCTGCCATCTGCTGGGCAGTTTTCGGAAGCTTTTCTGACCTGTGCCGAGTCACCAGGGAGCCACCAGGCCCTCAGAAGACTTTCGTTTTAAAATGCCTGTGTGGCTCTCGTCCCACAATATGCCGCTGAGTAGCGGACCGGCTGCCGTGGGAATGAGACACTCCAGTCACGGAAATGGAGCACATGACCTATATAACTTGCACCCGGGAACCTGCCATGGAGGGACGCGGTGAGCCTAGAGGAGTAGGGAGGCCAGCTCCAAGTGTCCGAGCAACAATTCTTCTCGTCCTACATCGTCTCTGCTTTTCTACTTGCGAGATCTTCCCTTTCATCAAGACAAAGATGAGGCTTCCGGAAGGATAGAAAGCTCAGCTGAAGAGGTCTTATGGTGTCCTTGTTCTGATGAACAGCAAATTGCCCTAGTCATGGCCAAAGGCAGAATGTCCTGCATGCTGGGTACAGGTGGGCTCACTTTATAGACGGAGTCACCAAGTACTTCAGATGGGATGATCAGGTTTCATTACAAGTGAGGTTCATGTGTCTGAAATCCTGGACACCGATAGTCTTGTCCACATAATTACAAATTAAGTTTTAGAGTTCTTGCTTTATAAAGTATCATCGAAAATAGTGATTACTTTGGATGATCAGCCTGTTTGTACAATATTATATAAGCTTCATCCAATTGATTCTTCCATAATCTGAGGTACTGTATATAAAATAGGCTGATGTCAACACAAGCACCTTAATCTCCTTTTTTCAGGAGGAGAGAGACTTCTTTCCACACCCGCAGCCTCCTTTATTTTATAACAGTCGTGGCCAATCTGTGATGCTAGGGCTTTGTATGTCTCCAGAACTTTTTCCTGTGTAGCCCAGAAGTGAGAGTAAATAGGGGGAAAATGCCATCTTCACTTGTATTGATGCTGTAATTAAAAGTGCTGTGCCGGTCACGTAATCAATGACCAACTATTCATTGTTTAAGGCACTACCATTTTACAAGTAGTAAACTAAAATAATTACAGATAAGATCCCTGCCCTAAGAGGGCTTATAACTTACCAGAGGAGATAAGTATAAAAAGCGTGAAAAGCTTGGGAGCAATAACAGCATTGCAAAATAGTAAAAAGCAACAACGTGACCATTGTCACAGAGAATTAGGTGGTTAAATTGTCCAGTGAGAGTTAGTAAATCCGAGGGAGGAGGAACAGCATGGACTGCAGGCTGGAGCAGATTAGGGGATCTCGCCAAAGAGGAATGATTAGAGCTGGACTTACATAAAATAAATGCATTTAGGTGTTTCTGTTTGGGGACGGACTGTCTTTGGTCTCACGACCTGCTCTTTCCTTAGAAGTAAAGTCTGTCTAAAACCCCCAAAGTAGCCACAGTTCTATTATGGTGTCGGAGAGAGGCGAGAACAGTACTGAAACCCAGTGCTTTCATTGTAATCTGTTCTCTTTCTTTCTTTTTTTTTTTTATCAGTCCTGCTGTAAGCAATAAATAGCAAAATCAGCTGACCCTTTCTTTAGCCCTCAGCAAACTCCCAGGGAAGATTTTGAGAGCTAGGGAAGAGTTAGGGAGGCAGGCAGCAAAATGAGAGAGAATAAAAAGAAAGAAAAAGTCCTGGCGTGCCAGGATCTGGATAATCTGGTCCTAGAGAACCAACTCTTTATGGGCAGAGCACCCAAACAACAACCAAAAAACCTCTTTATCTTGTTTCATGGTGCTCTTTAAAAATAAAAGAGGCAAAGGGTTAGGAAAACATCAGAGACCATAGCAGATGCAGTAGAGGGCTTTCAAAGTATAGCAGTCAGGAGGAGAGGGATCCCTGAGTCTCTCATCCTCCTTCAACTGTGCTCCTAACTCCCCGGGGGGGTGGGCGGCCACACAGGCCTTTGGGCTGGCGTGCATTTCCACAAAGGGCAAGTGGGAAACCCAGTCAGGCCTGTAGGGGGGACGGGTCCGCTGCAGCGACATTCCCTATTTTGCAGAAGTGATCAGCTGGATGTGGGTGACTATATCAAAGCCGTGAATGGGATCAACCTGGCCAAATTCCGCCACGATGAGATCATCAGCTTGTTGAAGAACGTCGGGGAAAGAGTGGTTCTTGAAGTCGAGTATGAGCTGCCACCAGTCTGTAAGTAATCACAACTCGGGGCAGAACAGCTGGGCCACATCTTTGCCTAAACAGTGGGTTCTCCATTTTTTCCCCCTTTTGCCAACATTGTCTCATTACAGGAATGACAGAGCATGGTTTCTTGATATTTAGAAATTATTTGAATTGATAAACCCACTCCAGAAGAATTAAAAAGAGCACAGATAACAATAAAATTATATAGGATTTGTGTTCCATTAAGGTGATCTGTGTACATCATATTCGCCACTTAAGCTATTTTCATAAACAGTCAACATTTTACAAGTTCTCTGCATTAATTTCCATCCAGGCTTTGTACTTAGTGACTAGGGTTAGGAAAAGCATGTTTAATGTGTTTTATGTTGATTCTTATATAGTTATGTTAATTTCTGAAGCATGCCGATAGATTCAAAACGCATTATCCTCAAGTAACAATAATTGTAATAGAACCACACATTTGCAGAGCTTACTAAATGTCCAGCATTATAAGGAACCTGACTTGCATGGATACACTTAATCCTCATCATAAGGGAAGTCAGCATAGCAGAGCTGAACTTTGAGGTAATAGGCTCAAATCCCAGCTTCACCCTTAACTAACTGCATGCCTTTGAGAAAGTTACTTCAGCTTTCTGTGTCACAGTTTCCATATCTGGGTAATGGGCATAATACTCATTCCTACCCATAGATCTGTCGTGAGAATTAAATGAGATCGTGTTTGTAAAGCAATGAGAACAGTGGCTGGCACTATAAAATATTTTTATGAATAATAAATACACAAATCAATCAGCACTACAAGACAGGCATTATTATCATTATTACTCTCATTTTACAGAGGCTTAAGTTAATTATCTTTCCCAAATACATAGGCAGCAAAGTCAGGATGTGAACCCAGGCTCCCTAACACCAAAGTCCATACGCTTATTCATTGTGATATATACATATGCCACGTGTTACTGCCGTCCTGCATTTAAGCTATGCTGTTCTAGCACCCCCTCTCCTGTTACTAAGCTATTAACATGGACGCTACCCTGAGAAAGCTCTTTGCTTTTCTCTACCAGTGAGAACTCAGGTTGAATTTCTTTTTAAAGATTTTATTCATTTATTTGTTCATTTATTTGACAGAGAGGGAGAGCAGGAGAGCACAGGCAGGGGGAGGGGCAGAGGGAGAGGGAGAAGCAGGCTCCCCACTGAGCAGGGAGCCCGATGCAGGGCTCCATCCCAGGACCTTGGAATCACGACCGGAGCCCAAAGCAGTCCCTTAACCCACTGAGCCACCCAGGCGCCCCTCCGGTTGAATATCAATAACTGATAATAACACATTTGTTCAGCAATGACTTCTTGAGCGTTTGCTACAATCCGGCCACCACTCTGTACATTCTGACGGGGGAAGACAGATAACAAAACAAGATCACAACAGAGAAGTAAACCAGATAGTATGAATGCTAGGGCTCATGAATGCTATGGGAGAAGAAAGAGCCAGGAGAGGGTTTGGGAGTGCCGGGAGAGGGGTAGGATTGCCGTTTTGAATAGGGTGGTTAGGAACAGCTTCACCAAGAGAGTGACATTAGCCAATGACTTGAAGGAGGTGAGAACGGTGGCTGTGTGGCTTTCTGGGGCAAGAGGACGGCACAAAGAGGGACAGCCAGCGCTGAGACCAAAGGCAGGGATATACTGGGGGTGTGGTAGAAACATTAAGAAGGGCGATTTGGCTGGAGTGGAGTGAGCATGAAAAAAAGTAGGAGAGGAGGTCAGAAATGTAAAGCATGAGGTGTATCTGTAGGCTACTGGAATGGACCTTAAGTTTTGCTCTGAATGATAGAGGACGGCATTGTATGATTTGCAGCAAAGGAGGGACATGATCTAATTTCTATTTTCAAAGTCTCCCTCTGGCTGCCGTGTTGAGAAGACACTGCAGTGGCAAGGGGGGACGCTGGGAGGCCAGGTGGGGGGCTGTTGCAGTGATCCAGGTGAGAGATGGCCGAGGAGATGGGAAAAAGCAGTTACATTCTTTATCATTTTGAAGGTAGAACCAACAGGATTTCCTGATAGATTTGACATGGTTTGGGCAGAAATAGAGGGGTCAAGGACCACCTGAGATTTTGAGCCCGAACAACCAGAAGGATAGGGTTGCCATTAATGGAGGAGGGGGGTAGAATGTGGGCAGAGCCGATTTGTGAGGAGATCAGAAGTTCATTGTTTGAAATGCTACCTCGGAGGTGTCTATTTGACATGCAGAAAGGCAATGTCAAGGAAAGAACTGGAGATGGAGTTAGGAGTTTGGGAGTAAGATCTGAGCTGGAAGTGTACATTTAGAGTAATGGGAACCTAGAAGGTGTTTGAAGCTTTAGGACCAGATGAGAGCACTCGGGGAGTGAGTGTATATGACCAATCATGAGTTCTTATTCTTAACATAAAATCCAACACTGAAAATTTAATGGTATTTTTATAACAAAATCCACTGAAGACTGTGTTCAGAAACCTTGCTATACTATAACATTTTTCATTTTCAGCAAGAGTAGGTAGTAGAATCGAGCATTGAGAGCTTAGACTGTGTCACCGGTTAAATGTCAGTTTTCCCCTTTCTAGCTTTATTATTTAAGTTCTCTGAGCCTTAGGTTTCTCATCTGTAAAATGGCTATATAGATGTAGAACTTTTATAAGAATTCAAGACTATAATCATGTATTTAGATCATCATCATCATGCACTTAGTAAGCCATAGTGCCTTTAGCCATTATTACCATTATGATTACAATAAAGTACTGTGTTTCCTTGAACTTAAAAAGAGTCTGTTTGTTTTGAAATCACTGTCTCAGGCCATTGCCAGGAGTTAGGAGAATCCAGATACCTAGAGCTAATGCTCTTTGATTCACCATTTTTATCCACTGGGGATAGAAATATCAATAAAACACATCCTCTTCCTAAAAAGAACTCTTAGAATAGCTGTCCCAGTTGGTAAGGCCAGTAGTAGAGATCTGCTGAGTTAGCCGTTATCTAGAACTAGGGGTTTCAGAGGATTTGAAGGAGGTTCTGCAGGTCCAGTAAGAAAGGGAACATTTTAGGCAGAGGGTACAGCAGGAAGGTAAGAATGTAACCCAGTGCAAGGTTTGAACTACAAACAGACTGGAGTTGCTGAAGCACAGAGGGAGAGAAGACCTGGGGGGGAATAAGGCCAGCGAGGCAAATAGGAACAAAATGGTGGAGGGCCTTGGAAGCCATATTGGTGGAGCTTGGATACTATCAGGTGGGCAATAAGGAGCCTTTAATGGCTTTTAAAGCCAAGGAACATCATCATCATCAGATTTGCATTTTTAGAGTTACCATTTTAGGGAGCCAAATGGAGAATAGATAAGAGGCTATAAGCCCAAAGGGTGTTGTAATTTTCCAAAAGCAATGTCACATCCTGAATAAATACAGCTTTAATAAAGTTAAAGAGGGAAGAGTAAGCATCAGACATGCTCAGGGGTTAAAACCTATCATGACTTGGTGATTATACCAGCTTTTCCTCCCTCATGCATTAAAGCTGTTGGGAAAAGGGAAAAAATATTTTTAAAAAACGAAGTGTGAACTTGGTTGACGGTAGAAATCAGATAGAAGAGACCTATTGTCAGCGGATTATCTCTGCCTCTATTACGTTTGGATAAATTAATAAGATCTTTGAGTTCAGGGAGGTTGAAGGGATTCATAAGCATCCCCTTCGCTGAGCTCAGACAGCTAGCAGGAGCAAGCCGCTGCCGTGAGGCCCTGGGGAGAGAGCTGATTGCCGAGAGATAAGCAGCCCTAGGCCGAGAGTGTTAACTCTGTCAAGGATCACTGCAGTTTCAGGCTCAGCCACCTGCAGAGTCCAGAAGGAAGTGGAGGAAGGATATGTGTGTGCATATGTATGCGTGTATGTGGTCTGATAGAGAAGAAATGGAACTTGGACCTTGAGCAAACCACTTACATTGTGCAAGATTCAGATTCTTTATGAAAATGGAATGGTTGACCTACATGAGCTCGGAAGTTCTCTTTGACTTTAAAATTATGTGGTGTTTAAAGACTGTATTTAGAGAGGCTATTACCAATCCGTATCTTAGGTATTTATGTATTAAATTTGGTCTAGAGCAGTGCCTTCATATTTTTCGGTGACATAACCCCTAAAGGATTTTGGAATATTACATAATCCTCAATCATTTTTTAGTTAGCACCTAACCTTCTTTATCATGAGCTTAAATAGGTAGAGAGGATGTAGTTTCTGGCATAACGTTTATATGTCTTTAAACGGTGTTTCCACTCAGACCTTGGAGCTACAGATTTGCTTCGTTTATTTTATGGAAAACGTCCACCACAGCATCTGATTGGCAAAGGCAGTCCTCTCTGTTAAACCATCAGCTAAATCAGACTAGCTTTCTATCAGAAGGAGTCCTTCTTTAATTCAAATAAATGTGTTAAAACATGTCCCTGTGATGGCCTCCTTACTTCTCAATTCCAATTCTAAGAGGGACAGACAGGTGATTGACGATGATGATGATGATGATGATGATGATGATGATGATGGGGATGGGGGAAAGCAGTCTCAGGTCTCCTCCATGTAGTTCATTCTGGAATTCAGTCTGAAGGAGCAGAAGCTAGCCAGGGAAAGCACTTCCTATGACAATGGTAGAGAAAAAACAGGACAAGCCCAACTACCTGAGCACACTTCCAACGTCTCCTTATATCTCTTAACATCCCATTGGCCAAAACAAGTCACAGAGAATCCCAACATAATGAGATAATGAGGAGGGAAAGTATCCAACTCCTATCCTGCCATTGAGGTAGAAGTTGGGGAGGTGGGGAGTAGTATATAATTTAGAAAAATCTAATCTACCATAGTAAAATAATACAATTCCACATATGGAAACAAGGGACAACAGTACATCAATTTTTGCATTGAGAAATTCATTTCAACCTAGCCCTTTTGCATGCTGGATTTGATTCTTTGGAGGAAACCCCTTATTTGGATAGATATGTCCACATATGCAAATATGAAGTAATGAATACAATTCACGTGGCAATGTAGGGTGTCCAGCTACTGAATATGAAAAACAAGTCACCAAGATCTAGTCATGCAAATAAAAATTATAAAAACTAAATCTATTTCATTAAGTATATCAAAATGTAGTCAACATTCACATTTATTTTTGTAGATGATAAACAGCAAGAATGTGGATAATATAAAGCTGTAGATAATCCTAAAAGTCTTTATATTGACTCTAGATTTGAATGTAAGATTTTGTGGTCAGCAAGAGTTAGCTCAAGCAAATTAAAATTACAGTGCATTTCATTCCCAGAACAGACACCCAGCCAACAAGGACAGGTGGCCCAGAATTAGAATTTGGTTGTATATAATTGAAAGTTGATTTAATGATTAAATGAAATAATATTTGTAAACCACTCTGCAGATTCCCTGGCACACAGTAGATGCTCATTAATTATTTCTCCCCATATCTTTTCCTTTCCTTTCTATTTGTTCCAGTAGAACAAAAAGATCATGTTCTTAACCAATTACTTCAGGTGGCTTGTTGGGTCATGGAAATAAGAAAACAGTTGGTTTGAACTCAATTTTTTTTTCATTTAATTAAAACTGTACCTCAACACTTTCAGCTATTTAAATGTACTGTTTCTAGCTGATTAAAATGAACTGAAATTCCCCTGATAGCAAGAATATGACATTTAATTAAATCAGCAGTATACCAAAACATTTGTTCAGCTGTAGGTTTATGTTGTTTTTCAGCAGATCCAAGTTCATGTTGTACTTTATATCCCAGCCAGATGTGTGCAGTTTTGTGAATTTAACTGTGTACTTTTCATAATCATATTTATTCCTTTGAGGATTCAGAATTTCCGATAATTAAAAATAGCTGCAATTAATGCTAAATTAAAATTACTTCCTATCTCTGTAAATGGTAAGAAATGTTCTTTTAAAAGATGCAATTAAATTCTATCTATAGAATCTGTACCGATGTCTATTCTATCCATATATTTCTTGTTGATAGTTTTTTTTTTTTAAGATTTCATTTATTTGACAGAGAGAGCACAAAGCAGAGGGAGAGAGAAGAAGAAGCAGGCTCCCTGCTGAGCAAGGAGCCCGATGTGGGACTCGATCCCAGGACCCTGGGATCATGACCCGGGCTGAAGGCAGCCGCTTAACCGACTGAGCCACCCAGGCGTCCCGATAGTCTTATTTTTTAAAAGGTTTATTTTTTTGAGGGAGAGAGAGAGTGCACATGAGTCAGGGGGTAGGGGGACAGAGGGAGAGAATCTCAAGGAGATTCCAGGCTAAGCACCCAATCCAACATGGGGCTCACTCCCATGACCCATGAGATCATGACCGAGCTGAAACCAAGAGTTGGAAGCCTAACTGACTAACCACCCAGGTGCCCCTCTTGTTGATAGTTTTATGTAATAAACTTTTCAAGATCTAATAGCAGAGTAAAAAGTGTGCCATTGATAATAAACACAGCATTAGATAATTAGTTATCATTGTACAAATTCAAGATTAGGATCTAAGACCATCAAATTCTACTGTTTGCAAATTCTTTTTTGTCTCTCTGACTAAAAATATCCCTGTGTCCATAATGATAAAATATTAAATTGTGGAGATTTGTTCTTTTTTTAATTCAGCAATGGTGTACTATATAACCAGAATTACTCACCACTTTCCTGAAAACAATCTCACAGAAGAATTTAGTTACTATACCTTCTTGCAACTCATACCCTGTGTTACACACATATACCGTGTGTAATATTAATTAGATATATCAACTTGGTCATGCAATTTTATTTTGTGAAATAGAAGCAATAAGCATACAAACACAACATATGCATGATGGTATCAAATAAAATTAAGCAAATCTTTATTTTATTAGACAGCAGTAATATTCTGAATGTACATCAGAATTTTTTTTTGCCCTCCAAGTTTGATTTGGGTTGTCTTTGTTAACTGAGATGCATCATGTCAGAAAATCTATCTGCATCAGCCTAATCTGTTAATGGTAATTTGAGAGTAACACTTTTTCTTCCTGTACTAGTATGCTGCAAAAATAATATAAATACATTATTTCAAGTTTTACAAAAATCCTACTGTTTTTAGATTTTACAGAGGGGAAATAATTCTATTGATTATATGAAGATTGTATCTCTTGTTTTATAGAGTTTTAACAATGTGATTATTATGTTCCACTTATAAGCTGGCTACATAAGAAGAAAGAAAGTACCTATGATTTTGATTCCACTTGGGCCTAAGCCTAAATCACTTATGCAGACAACTATTTTATGGTATTTGTATGACATTCCAAGTATTTTTTCTAACCTCGTCTTTGAAAAGAAATTATTGCCCTTTGATTACTCATAAGAATTATTTGCCACAGGGATCTGTAACGTCTTATGCCACATCAAAAAATGGATATGTTCTTATGACTTAAGACTTATATTTCTCTCTCTTCTCTGCATTCAGCTGTTCAAGGATCGAGTGTTATTTTCCGAACAGTGGAGGTCACATTACATAAAGAAGGCAATACCTTTGGTTTTGTCATACGAGGTAGGTGGTAGCTAGAAAATGTGAACCATCAGATATTCTTGGAGAATTTGTCAATGAAATATTAGGAGTGAACTAGAAAATCATCCGAAAAACAACAACAACAAAAACAGATGTTTCTTTCTTTTTTTTTTTTAAGATTTTATTTATTTATTTGACAGAGAGAGAGAGACAGCAAGAACAGGAACACAAGCAGGGGGAGTGGGAGAGGGAGAAACAGCCTGCCCACCAAGCAGGGAGCCTGACGCGGGGCTCAATCCCAGCACCCTGGGATCATGACCTGAGCCGAAGGCAGGCGCTTAACAACTGAGTCACCCAGGTGCCCACAACAGATGTTTCTAATGCATAAAGTCATCTTATAATATTTGCACCCATTGTTTTAAAAAATAAAGCAATGAGTGGGAATCAAAGTAGAATCCAAATGACCTAGATTTGTTTTCAGCCAATTAATACAGAGCAAGAAGTCACCATTTGTATACCTTATCAATTCATTCATCCTACTGATTTACCACTTTTCAACACGTGTTTTGCTTTCCCTTTATACTTTCTTGTATCTCCGAGTCAAAATGTTGATGAATATGGCTTGATTTGATTTAATACACTAGGATTAAGCAACTTTGTTTAAATTATTTTCTCCTGAAATACATTTTGTTATTGTAGCTTTCTAAAAATGGATTGAAGATAATCTAATCCCTGGGAACCTACGTGCATCAGCTTAATTTACTTTATTATGGGATGACATTAATAATAAAGATTTCAGGTGACTCCAACTTGTCTATAAAACCATTAATTCTGAGCTGTAATTCTGGCTTTTAATATTTTATTTTTCTTATTAGCAGTTTCACACCTTAAAGACTACAGTAAAACAGCTCATAATTCGTAGTGTGACAATAAAGTTCAATAGGGAACTATGTAGGCATCAAGGAATTTTTTTTTACCATTTCACATTTCTTGTTTTTTTTGTGTTTTTACCTATAATATTTTATACTTCACCAGTGTCAAACTTTTATCCAAATTATTAAAACATTGGTGAAAATTAAGCTTCTTAATAAACATACATGCAACAAGGAATAAAAGAAATGTGTTCACTTATATAGATTTGTCTTAAATGACTAAGCTTTAAACGTTAGATTTGATTCCGTGCCAGTTATCTAGCAAATCAATCAGATATTTATTAAGGACATGTCAACATGTCAGCAGAGGGGCCAAGTACTGGGGAGTCATAAGACAGCTCCCTATCTGCAGGGAATTACAATCCAGTGAATTTAAGACATAAGTTGATAAAGTACTCAAGTGAGCAGTAGAGAAAATGGAAAATGAGGAACTCACTGCGTGATTTAGACCAGCAATTTATTACCTTTTTCTGACCAGCTCCTATTCTTAGATGGAGCATTTTACCTTAACGATTCCCACATTTCTGTGCAAAAGAACTGGATGAATATAATAAGAAGTCAGTATACAAGTAATTTTGGCCCAGAGGGTGGTAGATCAAATCTGTTTTTGCAATATAGGTATGATAGAGAGACACACTTGAATTACATGCCTACAAGCCTAATTTTTGAAAAGCTGCAGTAAAAAATACTGCTGGTGCAAATATTCGTTACTAGTTGCTGTATGGTTAATCAATAACAAATCAAATTGCTAATGAAAGAGCTAAAACAACAGTAATTTATCATTAGGAACAAAAAAAGAATGGAAGCATTTGAAATCTACAACCACCTCAAGACAACCGATGATATAATGTCAACAAAATACCCGTCCCACCATTTGCAGGAATTTAAATATCTGTATGTGCATGCAGAATGAAAGTTTTCTACTATAAGCCTAGAATACTATCTGGTATATCATAGGCGCTTAATAAATAAATGAATAAATAATTGAATGTTGCCTAGATTTGTGTGGACATAGACTTCTTAGCATTAACACTGATTTCAAAACCTTAGTAATAATGAACCAATTTTGGTTTATGAGTACCACATTTTTGTAGGCTTTAAAAACTCCCTTAGTACATTAGTTGAATGTAAAAGTTTGTGCAATTTTGCATAATTTTTCATGAGAATCAAATAAAGCATTTATATTTTTAGATTAGTTTGAGGCCCACCTGAAGAGTCTTCCATGCTCAAAAGGCGGCCCCCACCCCTCCCTTCAGAATCTTGATTAATCACAAAAAGAGTTGCAGAATGAGAAAGTACTGTGGGTTAATGTTATCACGACAGAGAAGACATCATGGCATCGATGGAATTTGAGCTAAACTTATTTCAGGGAGAGCACCAGGACTTTCGGGAAAGAAGAGGACACTATCACAGATGGAACACATTCATTTAGAATTGGTGAATTTCTTCTTAACCAGTTAGAATGGGTGTTGGAACAATAAAGCAGGCTTTTACCTGATGAATGGAATTGCATTTCTAATGCTGTATGTCATAGGTTCTAAAACCTTGACTCCCCAAATGATAGAACCTGGCGCCTACAGAATGAAAAATGATGTTCTGGGCTAAATCTTGCAGAGTTAAATTTCAGTTAATTCCCTTGCCACCAAGCTAAGGAAGATGGCTTGGAATAATAGGGAAAGCACTCTGCCACTAAGTTCCGTTTCACTTTGGGCAAGGAAACTTTCTCTGTCAGTCATTCTCAACTAGAAAATTGTAGATAGGGTCTCCTCATCTAAAACATGGAGCCTAATATTCAGGTTTGGTTTTGCATTGTGGCCCTGACATTGACATTTTCAAAAAGTATTCCAGGTGAGTGATGCTAACGTGCAGCCAGGATTGAGAATACCACTAGTCTCTGAGTGGTCTCCGTTTTGCTTTGCAGCTCCAAACATCTAGAACCTAAGTGAATCACAAGCTAAATGTGGTTCCTTATTTCAAAAACTGATAAAATGTCACATATTGAAAAATTTGGAGCTATCTCACCTTTTGCCATGCATTCACTATTACGGATCTAAATGTAGACCAGATCAAAATTGTGGGAAGTTTTGTACTGTCTTCAGCTCCCATCCTTTTCTAAATCAACATTCCTTCAGGAGAAAACAAATCTATCTTTTTATGATCACCTTGCAAAAGAGAGAAATTACGTAATAGTATTTATATAAATATGGGTAAGCATGGGCTGTAATTTATTGTCATGATTTTCATTTTAAAATGCTTTTCTGAGGAAGTTGTGAATTTCCTATTGTAAGTAAGGAGGAACTTTGAAAGAAGCCATCAAACTGAGGGAAGGAGTGAGATACTGAAATGGAGCTTGTATCAATCAGCCAGACTGAATAAATCATTTGTAATAGAAATGAGCAGAAAGGAAGCATTTGCCTTCATCAGGAACAGTGAATGCCTTTTGATTTTTCTTTGAGGCTAGATTCTCTAAGTTGACCTCTCTGCCTGTTCCAGGTTTGGGGAATGCCAGTCTGTTCTACCAGGCATATGTTAGGGAAGGCATATTTGATGGTAATATTCATACTTATCAGATACTGGCAAACTAGGGACCCCCAGGTGGGCAGCCATGATGGTGATGCAGAATAGTTAAGAAGGTGGAGATGTCCAACCTGAAGAAGATGAGACTTAGCAGGTGTATAATCACTGTTTTCAACTTTCAGAAAATGTTTCTTATAGTAGAGAGCATCCATTTTTGTTTCACTGCTCTAAATAATAGAGCAAGGACCAGGAGATGAAAGTTGAAGGAAGATAGATATCAGATGAATAATTAGGAAGAAGCTTCTAACACCCCTACGTGTCCAAATGTGAAAGGGCTGCCTCAAACCTAATAAGTAGGCCAACTGGTGGGTCTCAAGAAGAGGTTGAGGAAGCATAGATTATGGAAGTTTTACAAAGGGGTCCTGGATTTAGAAGAGAATTTATAAAAAAAAAAAAAAAAATACCTTCCATCTTGAAGTTTTTCTGTTTCCAGGAATTCTTGAGCAGAAATTGTCCTTATACAGAACTAAAATCTCCATTTAAGCATTGCAGTTTTTTTTTAAATAGTCTGTCAAATTTGCCCCCAATTTTTTGAACAGCCCAACTTTAATGGAACTCACTCAGCCTCTTGAATTTTTTCTTTCTTGTTTTAGATACTTATATAGTTTTTCCCTCTTCAGTGTTTGCTTCCTTTATGTCAGGTTGTAGACCTACTCACCTGTATTATAGCCCAGGTTCATTGGCCCCAGGTATACCCACCTGCACTTTGTTCATGACTGACTTCTAATTAGGCTAGTACTCACAAGTAGTTCGTGCTCTTGTGACACTAGTTGTTAAATATTTTCTGTGTCATCCCTGAATGCAGCCATATATTTATGGACAGGCAGAGACATTGTGACTCCAAAAGCGTATTCTATATAAAACGAGTAAGATTTTTGGAAAAAAATTACACATTTTCCTCTACACATCAACAAAATGTACTTTAGTTTCTCGGCTGGCATTTTGTAAGTAATTCTTTTTAACGAAAGCATTGCTAAGCTGTATTTCTTTCTTTCTCCCTTCCTTCCTTCCTTCCTTCCTTTCTTTCTTTCTTTCTTTCCTTCTTTCTTTCTTTCTTTCTTTTTTTGCTAGGAGGAGCACATGACGATAGAAATAAATCTCGTCCAGTTGTAATAACATGCGTTCGTCCTGGAGGACCTGCTGACAGGTAAACTTCATTTCTCTGTGTCACTATCCAAATAGAATAAACAAAGCTGGGGAAAGCAAATATGTTGGAATGTGAAAACTGAAATTGTTTGGGCTGTGGAATCAGAAGAAAGAAGGTTTGACCCCAGACTCGACACTGAACTACCCTCCGTGTTTGGCAAGTGACTTAACAGTTCTAAGCTCAGTTTCCTGCACTGTAAAATGTAGATAACAATACCTACCTTTCAAGGTCTTCAGTTTTATCAAAGACTGGCTGATGCCTTGCAGGGGACCCATCATGCCGTAGGTACTTAAATAAAAGGCGGCTGGCTTTTTTAAGGCAGGCACTTTACATGCGTCATCTTCAATTGCTAGTCTCCTAATCTGGAAAGATAGGTGGTGGCAATTTGATTGTTACTATTATCCACATTCTTAGGATTATTGTTATCTTTTGATAATGATTATATATGTCAGAATGGAAGTGACTTTTTTTTAAAGATTTTATTTATTTATTTGAGAGATAGAGAGTATAAGCTGAGGAGAAAAGCAGAGGGAAAAGCAGACTCCCCGCTGAGCAGGGAGCCCGATGTAGGGCTCGATCCCAGTCCCGGGATCATGACCTGAGCCAAAGGCCGACGCTTAACCAACTGTGCCACCCCAGCACCCCTGGAAGTGACTTTTAATAAAAGGGAAGTAGCATTGTCAGTGTCTAGAGCTATCTCTTCCTTACTAATTTGAATATTTGAAAGGGCAGCTCCTTTAGCTTTCACATTATAAACATGGTTGGGGGGGGGTTGCCTAAGTAAACTCACAACTTAGCTGTCTCAGGAGATACTTGTCTTTGTGTTAATCTTCCACAGCAAAAGTCGATTCCATAAAGGCAGAAGACCACAACTCCTGCCATTCGATATTGCTGAGGGGTAGGAGAAAAATGCCCCGATTACCCCTGATTCTGTACTATGTTTCAAACAAGGATACAGATTTTAAACCTTCTCTTAGGCAATAGAAATAGTAATAATACATACTATTGATTGAGCATGTAACCAACCATGTGCCAGGAAATGTCCTAAGTGCTTGGCAGACATTATTTTATTTTATCCCTACAACTGCCTACTAAATGAAATATTTTTTTATCCACATTTGCAGGTGATAAACCTGAGGTGCAGTATGGCTAAGTGACTTGCCAGCTGGTTTATACATGGAAGAGTTAGGATAGGAATTCAGGTTTATTTTCCTTCAAAACTCATGCTGTTACCTTCCTTTTCTAAAAAGTTTGTGTTTAATATAAAATAAGATACTGGTTTCTCCCCTGTGCTATAATATGTTTGCCTTTGCAGAAGATATTACAAAGTCAAAATTTTTACAGACATCTTGCCTTTTTCCTTTCTTGTGCTTCTCTTGTGAATTATTCTTCTGGAAGTTAATAAGAATATTTTTGTTCCTTATTAATGTTTAGGTTGACATCGACAAAAATGTCAGAAGCAGGCCACTAGTTTGTGAGCAACATAGAACCAATTTAATTTCGGATGAAGTGGAATCTAAAAATTTAAGATAAAAATTTAGTCAAAATTCTTAGAGGGTTATCTAGGTGAAGGATATTTAAGAGATTTTTATCCTTTTAAATCCTAAACTTGTAATCCCCGTTTGATTTTCTCATCTCCATGATCCTCCCTGAGGCAGGAAGACAATGATCTGGAAGGCTCCTTGGCTATATTTTAGTGGTGTCCCTCACGTCCTGAGGTATCTTCTTCCAGTGCCTGGAGTGTCTGTGGTCACAGCAGAAAGAACAGTATTTCCCTGTCTCATGGGGAATATGAGACTGAAGCAATTTAATGATTGCCAAAATGGCCTGACAAATCAGTAGGGAAATTTATAGACTAGGGAAATTTTTCACCAGTGCTCCCTGTCCCACTTGGTTTCACCAGTAATAAATTGAATGGAATCAGCAGGCTTTTCTGCTCACCTGGCTTTGGAAAACTAGGTAAATGCTACTTTCTGGGCTCTAATAAATCAATCTGAGACATTTCAGCAAAAACCTAGAAAAGCAAAAACTGTGTGTTTGGTACTTCTGCGCCCCTAGAGTTAAGTGTGGGTGACTTGGTGGTTGACTAATGTGCAATTATTACCTTATTACTGACACTCGTATTGTAGCAATTTTCTGTTCAGGGTTACCTCTCTCCTCTCTTACTATCATGCTCGATGCTTAAAAGGAAGTGCAAATAGGATGGAGGGCTGCACCCGTGAAAGAACTGCTTTGGCTAAGTGACAATTAATGTTAGACCACATTAGGTTACACTAATGAAGACCATTTCTCTGTTCTCCCTTCAGAGAGGGCACCATCAAACCTGGCGACAGGTTGCTCAGTGTGGATGGAATTCGGCTTCTCGGAACCACACATGCTGAAGCCATGAGTATTCTTAAACAGTGCGGACAAGAAGCAACACTGCTGATAGAATATGATGTCTCAGTGATGGGTATGTCAGAGTCCTGAGGTGGCGCTCACTAAGCTCTAGGTCATGTCATTGTCCATCCCTGATAAACCACTCTGGATTAAGAATGGCCTGTTCTGTCCTCCTGCAACAGACAGAATTCCATCAATACTCTTTCATTACTCTGTTGGGTTCAGGAAGAGGAGGTGAGTGGTACTTGTCAGCGATTTAGAGTTCTTGTGTCAATAGCTTCTATAATAAGGTCCTATTCTGTCAGAGTGTTTCACCTAGCTCTCAATTCTTCTATGTGGATTCCCTTTTGGCAGCAAAGTATTTTCCCCTCCGAATCACAAGAATAGTATTATTAACTTAAAGGCTGGTACTTTGTCTTTTACTACATGGAGACTAAGAAAAATAGGAGATGTCTTTCCTTCTTGTAACTTCACAGTAGGAAGCTCGCTCATCAGAATCAATAGAAATTACCAAGCATTTTATCATTAGATTTAGGAACAAAAAAAAGAAAAGGGGACATATAGAATCATTGATTAAAATCAGTGAGAATCATTGATTAAAAGAAAAATACTGTTGAGTGTAGTGGGTTTTTTTTAAAATAGAGTTGACCCACAATGTTACATTAGTTTCAGGCGTACAATATAGTGATTTGACAAGTTCATATGTAATGCTGTGCTCACCACAAGTGTAGCTCCCATCTGTCACCACAGAATGCTGCTAGAGTACCAGTAACTATATTCCCATGCTGTGCCTTTCATTCCCATGACCTATTCATGCCATAACTAGGAACCTCTATCTCCCATTCCCCTTCACCCATTTTGCCCACCCACCCCCACATTTTCCCCTCTGGCAACCATCAGTTTGTTCTCTGTAATTATAGGCCTGATTCTGCTTTTTGTTTATTCATCTGTTCGTTTTTTTTAGATTCCACATATGAGTGAAATCATATGGTATTTGCCTTTCTCAGTCTGACTTATTTCACCTAGCGTAATACCCACTAGGTCCATCCATGTTGTCTCAAATGGCAGAATCTCATCCTTTTTTATGGCTGCATCATATAACACACCTTTCTTATCTATTCACCTATCAATGGACACTTAGGTTGCTTCCATATCTTAGCTATTGTAAATAATGCTGCAATAAACATCAAGGTGCATATATCTTTTCAGGTTAGTGTTTTTGTTTTCTTTAGGTAAAAACCCAATAGTGGAATTATTGAACCATATGGTATTGCAATTTTTAATTTTTTGAAGGACCCCCATACCAAAGCACCAATTCACATTCCCACCCACAGTGCATGAGGATTCCTTATCTTCCACATCCTCACCAACACTTGTTATTTCTTGTCGTTTTTATTTTAGCCATTCTGACAGATGGTAAGATGATATCTCATTGTGGTTTTGATTTGCGTTTCCCTAGTGATTAGTGATGTCGAGCATCTTTTCATGTGTCTGTTTGTATCTGAATGTCTTCTTTGGAAAACTTGTCTATTCAGTTCTTCTGCCCATTTTTAATTGGATTGTTTGGTTTTTCGGTGTTGGGTTATAGAAGTTCTTCACACATTTTGGATATTAACCCTTTATCAAATATATCATTTGCAAATTTTCTCCCGTTTAGTAGGTAGCCTTTTTTTGTTGTTGATGGTTTCCTTTGCTGTGTAAAAGCTTTTTATTTTGCGGTAGCCCCAATAGTTTATTTTTGCTTTTGTTTCCCGTGCCTTAGGAGACCTATCTAACAAAATGTAGTGTAGTATTCTTTCTTTCAGTAATGCTTCCAGTGGAAATTAGTTCTATTTCTACCCTCACAACTATGGTAAAACTTGGAAGATATACTCTTCTGGCTTTTAAATGTTACAAGAGAGCCAAAGTTTTGTGTAATGTTAACTAAGGCATAAAAATTATGAGATAATGAATTGGAACTTAAAATTGAAACTAAATCATGTTGTTAGTACTTCTTACAATTATCAGACATGACTATCTGACTGGATCTTACCTGTAAGTTTTACACTGGTGAAACGTAGCAGAGATAAAGAGACAATTCTATAACTGCAAACTCCTTTATTTCCCACTCTGTATGATTCATGTAGAACAGTGTTGCTTGAAAGTGTTAATATGCCTACTGGCCTGAAATGTTTTAATGAGGTATGAGGTTTCTGAAAAGATTTAAAGTATGAGATTTAAGGAGTTCTTAGCAGAATAAACGGTATGATATGCCCTTGAGATGGAAAATTCAGAAATAAATGAACTTTCCTCCCTCGTCTTTCTTTCTCTTATAGCCTCTCCTTCCTTCTTTTCTTTTTCTTTCTCTTTTGTTATATAGTTTTGAATTAGATTTGGAGTTAGGTGATTTAGGCTCTGTTTTCACTCCACTGATATCTAGCTGTTCATTTGGACCATGTTACTTATTTCCCTGTGCCTTAGTTACCTCATTTATCGAATGGGGACTAGCAAAACCTATTTTAAAGTTAGTTGTGAGTCAAAATAAAATTATACAGTAAAATCTATTTTAAATGATGATACAATATATTATTAACATTAAGCATCAAGACAGACATTTAACATATTTAATCATTCATTCAGCCCACAAATATTTATTGGGCTACGTGGCAGGTATCAAAAATACAGGAGTCCTGTAAACAAAACAGACTTAGTCCCTGCCCTTATAAAGTTTGCAGTAGATGGGGAGGACAGACAGTAAACAAGGACTTGATCAAACACTCATGAAGTGTGATCATTACCTGCTATAAAGGGCATGAACTGGATTCTGTGATTTGGGAATAAAGGAAAGTACGGGTGAGAGTTAGCAGATGCCAATAAGGTAGTCAGTGAAAAGGTGACATGTGAGCTAAAACCTGAAGGCTTAAAAGGAACCAGCTCCCAAACTGAAGACAATAGTCTATAGGGCCTGAGCACTCTACCTCAAAGGGACATCTCCCATGGGGATGGACACCGCTTCAAAGGAAATTCCTCCATGTTCCGTTATTGCCAGAGTCAGGAGGGGATGGGGTGACCCATCTGTCCGCCTTCACCCCAATTCACACATTCTGAATGATGTTTGACAGTTTCCACATTTCAGAGTTCTCAGATAGCCCCCTAATATAGGGGACAGTGGGCCATCAGGAAGGAAACATATTAAAAAATCTCTAAGTTGCTAGATATAAGATCAGTATACAAAAATCAGTTGCATTTCTTTATACCAGTCAAAAACAAAGTAAAGACTTTAAGATACCATTTATAATAGCAATAAAAAGGAATAAATATAACAAAAGTTGTGTGTGCCCATTACATATAGATATATAGATATGGATATAGGCCTATGCATTAAGAGATACTTAAATGAAGACCTATGTCACATTATCGAATGGGAAGTCTTAATAACTAAGAGATGTCATTTCGGTCAAATGCATCCATAAATTCAATTCTATTCAAAATCTTAAAAGGATCTTTGGGGGGACCTTAATAAGGTATTTCTAAAATGTTCATGGAGTAAGAAATGTAGGAGGAGGAAAACAGCCAAAATGTTTTTGAAACAATAGGAAAGCAGAAAAACTTGTTCTACCCAATATCAAGACTCATTCTAAAATGGTGCCGTTAAGTCTATGTAATATTAGCCATGGGATAATAAAGAGATCAATGGAAGAGAATGGAATACCTAGAAACAAACCACTGTGGATATGGAAACAAAGGTATAGTCTTACCTCTGTTGGGAAAGGTTGAACTAGTCAGTATATGATGCTGGGTCAATTAGTTAGCCACATGGGAAAAATTCTATTAAATTCCTACTTCATACCCCACTCAAAAATAAATGCTGTGTTTGCACAACCATTTCCCAATCAAGTGCTATTACAAATAACTGAAATGAATATCCTTTTACCCAAATCTTTGTCTGTATTTCTGATTTCTTTGAAGTATGTAGTTCTTATTTCAATATTTGGCACGTCATTCTAAATTGTCCTCCGGAAAGGTTATACTATTTTATATTACTACCAGCAATGTTTTAAGTGTAATTACCTCACCAGAGCTTGTCAACATTGGATATTATCATTTTTAATTTTTCTGATTTGTTAAGTGAAAATTGCATTTATATTTTAATTTACTATTAAAAAATTTCTAGTGCAAGTGAACATTTTTTCATATGACCGCTAGCCAATTTCATTTCTTATTGTATGCTTATGTCCTTTATTCATTTTTCTATTGGATATGCTCTTAATTTTCTTATTGGTTTGTATAAACTATATATTAAGGACATTCATCCTTATCAGTTTCTTGAAAATTGTCAGTAGTTTATTTCTTCTTTTGGACATATTGAAGTTTGTTTTTTTTTGATTCAGCATTTTTCTTAGAATTAAAAATTTTTTTCCCTAAATAGTTACCTAATATCCCAATCATTTAATAAAGAATCTGTCACATATCCACTGATTTTTACTTTTTTTAATCATACATTAAATTATTAAATATACGAACCTCTACATGTGGGCTAGTTGTTCTGATCTCGGTATCTAGTTTCACACCATAATTCAGGATCAGACTTTTGCATAGAAGTCTTAGCATAAGAGCTCTTAATTACCATAAAAGGACACACATTTATATTTGGAAAAATTATTTATCTATATACTACATCTGTTGTATTATTCTAAGCCTTGTTAACTTCATATAGCAAATGAGCAAACTTTGGATTTTTCAATTTCTTTTTTTAAATTTCTTTTTAAATTCCTTTTTCTCTCTTTTCTTCTTTTCACCTCTCTTGTACCCACTTGCTTACTGTCTCAACTTTTTCTCTCCCACTCCGTTCCTCACTGTCAATCCTCCACTCTTCCTCCTTTCCTTTCCAGCCACCCAATTCTTTTTCATATTCTGCTCTCAGTTTCTCACTTGTCAGTACTACTCTATTCTGTCTTACTTGGATGTTTTTCTAATATTCCCTATAGTCATTATCTTTTTTCTCTTTTTGTCTTTCTTGCTTTTTTCCATTCCTGTTCTCCTAATTTGGGTTAAGATAGGATTAGGTATCCATAAGGTCAAATAATTGAGAAT